TGGGTGAGAGAGAGGGGGAGGAGGAGGACAGAGGGCAGAGAAGGGTGGGAAGATAGAGACGAAGAGAAAGGGGAGAGCATCCTCGGCTAGCAGAGCAGGCAGCCAGTCAGCCAGCCCCGGCCAACATCGACCCGGCGAGCTGCTCTTTGCCCATGCGCAACAATCTTACCCCAGGACTAGTGATGGGCCCGATCCAATTCTCGACTTACAACTTCGCGTTACACTTTTGCAAAACAATATCTGTCTGCTACGTTTATCGTCCAATTACGTTACGTTAGAGTCGTTAATTCGTTGGTCTGCAACCATCGTTAATACGGTTTCTGCAATTAGAGTATCAAGTATTAACGGGCGAATAATTGTGTATGTATGAAATATTTGGAAAAAAAGTTTCGTTGGTAAAATGTTGAAATTGAATTTGAAAGTTTTGAATTAATAACGGCACTTGAATTACGCGAGATATCGAAGTTTCTGTTTTCTCGTACACGTACACAGAGAGAGTTACCTTTTGTTTTTTAATCTCAACGTATATCTAGCACGATCGTTGTTTTCCTAAATTTCAACCGATCCCATTAAACCAGGCGAAATTAATGAAAATATTTTGGACACAGTTCGGGATGCAAAATACGATATCGTGTTTGCGAATATTTCTCTCTCTCTTGATGCGTACGTATGCAGATGTGTAGGTCATTTAACGATCGTCCCAGTTGTAAAATATTGTTTGGAGACGATATTACCGGTTTCCGATCGACGATTAGCGTCTACCGACTGGAAAGAGCGAAACGGGAATTCCATGGAATGTTTCCCGAGAAGTCCTTCAACGTGACTGGAAAACATTCGCCGCTTCGGCACAATAAATACTGCCAATGCAAACGATTTATACGAGAGAGAGAAAAAGAGAGAGATGCTTTTGCTCGTGTTTTCGTCCCCGCGCGCGTTTCCCCGTCGCAAAGACCGCGTAATCTGTGACAATATTTTTTCAATAAACACGCGATATACGGTGTACCCTACTCTTCTTTCTTTTTTTTCACTTTTGTCCATTGATTTTTTCCCAGCTTCGAAACGTCGTGTCGTAAAATTTCATTTCAATACGACAAAATACGCGTGTATACATTTACTTATTTTATTATCAACGGTAGAATTATTATTACTTTTTTTTTTAAGGAATAAAGATAAGCTCGTTAAGAGCCCTATTTCAGAAACTCCGTACGATGCACGTGTATAAAATCCGTTTCGAAACGGTTATTAATTGACGTTCCCCGCGGGCTGGGATCGTCCACTTGGTGCCACAAGCAGTCGTACTTCGTCATCCCGCCCCGAAAACTATGAGGCGTTTAATTAACTCCAGTGTTCGTGGAAAGAGACGGAGAATTCAGATGCAAATGCCGTGACACGCCCACAGGACGACCCTTTCTCCTTCCGGTTAAAACACAACCATCGCCGAAAACCGCTGCTTCTTCTTAGGCGATACCCACAGTCGCCCCAAACCGATAGAATTTAAACGCGCCTGTGAGATATCTATACAAATCTGCATACGAGAAAGAGAGAGAGGGAGGAGTGAATCGAGAACCAATTGAAAGAAACACGCTGTTGTAAATATCTTTCGGTATCTTTCGGTTCGAACGTTAACGATAATAAATGCACCGTCTCTTAAAATAATTATAATTTATGTATGTCAAACAGCAATTTCATTAACGAGAAAAACCTCGGAACGAAATTGTAATTGCGCCACACCGTTTAACGTCGCTTTTTACATGGCACTGCACGCGGTAATCGCGCGAAAGATACGAACGAAGATTAAATTCGCGCAGCACGAACCGCGCTCATAATGCGGAAGGCACGTACGAGATTCACGGATAAAGCGATTCGATGTTCCTTTTTTTTTCTTCCCTTCCCTCCTCTTCTTTCCATGTTCCCGCGCGATCCTTGCACATCCAATGCGGTGTGTGCACGTCGCGCATTCCGCATGTCGCAGTAGTTTCAGCCGCTCACTGGTCAGCCACAAAGTGAAACGAGTATCTCTTGGTACCGAACTGGTGTAGGCATTTATATCTTTCCCTTTTAGCGAGTGTACGTTCTCCTACTTGCTCGAACGAAATTTCAAAAGGTAGATTAACGCATTGGGACACCGTAGAAATTCATTTTTTCTATGTCTTCCGTCGGTAATCCTCTTTCTTTCGCTATTGTCACCGATGAAACGCAATATCGAGAGGCTGTTCTGTGTGTATCGTTAACTGGTACAGTTAATCAGATGAAATTTCGTGCATTCGACGCCACGAAAAGGGGATCTTTTCTATATCTGAAAGAGGAATCAGGATTCTTCGTTGGTCATCCGGCTTTCTTTCTTTCACCGCTGCACCCTGAACAGTGGTCAAACAGAGTTTTTCCCAAGGGTCAGCAGTAAAGCAGGAAGAAAAGAGTGGGAGTGCGCGAGATGAAAGACCGATCAACGGTTTGAACGTTTTGGATTCCCCGAGGAAGCCCTGCGGGATAAGATCCTGGGAGTCAGAGAGGCTTCCCCTGATCGTGTGCAAAAGTGGCGAGACCGTTTTGGACGTTGGTCGAGGCGAAGGGGGCGACGGACGGTGGAAAAAAAAATTACTAAATCCTATCTGAATCAGTGGTCCATTGAGCGGTGGTTTGATATCAAGCAAGGATATCTCTCTGTTGGGAGTCCTTTTGAAAAGGAATCCTGGAGCCGAGGCGGTGCTACCTGAACGTGGAAGGGGGAAGGAAGGAAAAGCGGAACAAGAAGAAGGCTTATTCCGACAATACATCCTTCGTCGTAACGCGAGGGTGTGCCGACTGACAGACAGCTCCTGTCTAACAGATACCCAAGCAAAACCTACGTCTACCCTTGTGTGTATCGTACAACCCCATCGTCAGAGAGAGAGAGAGAGAGTGAGAGAAATCGGTACACCCCACTATCAAACTCTTCGAGTCCTCTGTGAATCGCGAACAGACGGAGGAGTACGTATCGGAGGGAAACAACGGAGCTTCTGGGGAGAGCTGAGATTTTTGGTACTTGTAAGATGAACAGGGTGTACCGAGAAAGGGTTCCTCTCGGAGTTTATAGAAATTTAATACACCTACTCTTGAGTGATAGACAAATAACTATCGACTTTTGCAAGATTTCATATAAAATTCGACGATAAACTGTTCAATAGATAGGTTATCAGAGTCTTCGAGTTCTCTGTGAATAGCGAATAGATGGAGGAGTACAGGGAAACAACAGAGCTTCTGGGGAGAGCTGAGATTTTTGGTAGTAGTACAGAAATTGAATATAACAGGGAAATAACTATCGACGTTTGCAAGGTTTAATATAAAATTCGACGATAAAAAATTGTAGAATAGATAGGTAGCCTTTCTATAATCTGTCACAGGGTGGCATCGTTCCTCGGAACGTCACAAGAGCCCTTTTCTATATTCCTATCGTAAAATCACGATCGTACATTCATCTAGTTCTCCCCGTCTCCCTTGTCGAGACTGACTGGTCTGGCTTCCACTCACATCCCTGATCGGTGCACTCAACGCGGCAGAGAGATAGAGAAAAAGAGAGAAGGATCGATTTATACGAAAAGGCTCGACGATCACTTACCGGGCGGATCGTAACGGGACACCCTGTAGAACGAAGCATAGGCGGCGGACAGCGCGTTTTGCGGTGACAGAGCGTGTCTGATGGAGGGTTGTCACGGTATGGGAGCACCCCTCAGACTTCGATATTAAAGCCCTCCTAATATAAGAGCAAAAGCTTCGCTCTCCACCGTCGATATGCTCGTTTCAAACCTTCCTCCCTCTCCACTATCGCCCTTCCGTCCCTCTGAAATTTCCAGCAAGCGATACTGACTTTTGTGCGACCGACCGGACCGCTCCTGGATTTGTGGGTAAGCGAGTGGGCGTGCAAGAGGGTGGACCGTGAAAGGGATGGACAGATTTATTAAGCTCTACGATACTCCCTTCTTTACGGCAGGCTATCGCACCGTAAAATATGTATGTAAAAATCGTACGAATTTTTTAAAACGAAGTCTCGTCGCTGGAGTGAAACGTGAAAACCAAGTCACCTTCTTTTTGTTTTTATCTAAACAGTTAGGTTGAATAAAGTATTACTAAAAAGATTTTACGAAGGGGAAAAAGTCACACGATTAATGTCTCCGGTGTGAAGCCGGTGATTCCAAATCGGCCGGAAAAAATAAAGGAAGAGGGTAGGACGTTGAAGGGGAAACGACTTAAATGCACGCTTAGGTGCGTGCAACGAAAACGCGTGCAACACGCCCCTGATCTCGGCTTCCGTATCCATCTGACACGCACCATTGACCACGAATGCACGTCCGATAGGGTGGCCCATGGACCTCCTCAAAAATCAAGTTATCTCTATTCTCCGCGCATCGTGGGGTTTCGAATAAAACGCCTCGCCACGGGGTGGCTTCGCGTCTTCTCTCCGCCTAGGCCAGCCGGCCGGAGTATGTCGCACAAATTTATTGGAAATGCCTCGCGCCAGATTACACAGGATTTTCTCATTTTATCATCGTACTCAACGAGACGTCGTAAAATTTATATATAAATGGCGAAGGTGCAGGTAGTGTCGTTTCAGTTTGCTCAGACGATTTGTACAATTTTATCACTTGGAATAATTCTTCGAAATATTGCAAAGATTATCTTGGTATCTCCTAAAGAAAGCTGCTTTAATCGTTTTTCTTTTTTACTTTCACTATATAGGAAATTATAAAGGAAACACCCTGTATTTTATATATTATTTGGAGTGGTTGTATACACTACCAAAAATTTGACGTCGCTTGTCAACTTACACCAATATGGAATCTCCTACTAATTGTTCATAAAATTTGAAATTAATACTGTAAGGATTGCAATTTGCTTCGTTTCAAAAAAACGAAAGATCTGTCAAATCTTTCTCAAATTCCCAACTACCAACGCACAGTGCTCGAAAATGACAGTGTGCATATACGCATGATAAAAGAAACGTTGAAAGTTCAGTGTTCACTCACGGTAAATCGACGACACCAAACGCTCAGCCAGTTGATGTCCCGTATCCGCATTCCGTCAGGCAGCTTCAGAATGATGTCCGTATCGTTGTACATTTTAAGCACCACCGGGTCCCTGTGCGGATTGAACAGGCAACAAAAAGAAAAAAAGAGGCCTGAAGGATCGAGCGTGTTCCATTGTGCCGGTAACTACTCTAATAATACCACGCGCTTTTCCGCTGACCAGTTTTTCACCGGGCGAGATCGCGCATAGCTCATCGATCGGCCTACCCGTTCGGCCGACAGACGACGACGAGTCGACGATTTCGGCAAACAAAGTCGCGTATCGATCCGCAGTTCGAGCCTGTCGTTTCGAAACGTGGTGCACGCCCCGGCGAACAGGAACAAATACTTCTAATAGCATCGTCCTCTAATAATCACCGTTCAATTGGATCCGCCAGAATCGAACATCATTATTGTACCGCGACGCGAGACTTTTCTATCTATCTAAGCTATAGAGAAGGTATCTCTGTGTTCTCCAGCCTTCGAAAAAGCCGACACACCGATAGAAGGAAGAAAGAAGAAGAAGTCGGTCTCAGACAGTGTTTACGACTTTTTCATCGAATCTAGACGGGGGATAGAGAAGCAAAGAGAGACAAGTGGCAAGGCAGCGGAGTCGAAACGTAATAAAGTGCTCGCGCGGACCAAATCCGAACGAGATCGCCGTATAATTCCCGTTTTATTAACTGCACCCCCGCGATCCATTCGTCCAGCCTTCCGTCTGCTTTCATCCCCCCGTTCCACGCCCCCTTTTCACCATCCCCGACTACCCCTTCGACGCACACAACAAGCTCTTTGAGTTTCATTTCATCCCTTGGTTACGGTATGCCGCTTACGTCCACCCTCTCTTTTCTTCCCTTCCTCTTCTTTTCCACGTTTTTATCACGCGTCAAGCCTGACCGCATACGCAACACCATTCCACGGTTCTTTTCTTATTCTTTCTTTCTTTCCTCCTTTTTTTCTTCTTCTCTTGCTGCTTGCTTATTCGTGCGAGAATGGGGTACTCGGTTTGGGTCTTACGTTTGAAAAGAAGACATGGAAAAATGCTAGGGGGGAAAGCGAGATGAGAAGGTTTTTAGAGATTTCTGTTACTTCTTACCTGCCCTTTTCTATTTCCGGATACGGGACGATGTAGCCCTGTGGATCGGGCTTGGTACTGTTCCCTACCCAGAAGTATGCGTCCGGTCCGGTTCCATCGTACGAGAATCCTTTAATGAATATCGTCGTGTCGTCCACGACGTACGCTTCTCCATTGATTTTATGAGCGTATTTCGTTAGATTTCCAATTGGTTTCCCGTAATTCGCGTGTCCCCTGTTTGCATGACCTGTAGAAAAAACCATCGATGTGATCAATTCGTTCATCTCTCTGATCAATTTATCACGATTCAACGTGTCACTTAAAATACATTTCGTACGTTCTAATAATCGCTGTGTAATTTAGAAGAATGAAATATCTCGCGTCTAATTAAATGTGTGCAGGTAGAGGAAGGGGATAAAATTCTCCGGTGATGGTAAATCAAGCCTAAATGATCGTAAACCGCGAAAAGGCGCGGCGGTGGTAGCGGTCGGGACTTCATTCGTGGCGTGCTGTACGCTCGCGGCTGCAAAAGGGGGAAGCACGGTTTCACCCTCGTGATATAGGTTGGACGCATCGCCGCCCCGATACAAAAGCGGCTGGCGAACCGGTCGGCCGTGCCGCGCGATTTGCATGAATTTCATTTCATTTGCTCGACAGGCCCCCATAAAGTCGGACGAGCGAATAGATCGAGGAAGAGAGCCGCCCCGCTCTGTGTGGCAGTAAAAATCATCGCGGCAGTGGGATTCAGACGCGGAACCGATCGTCTTAAAAGCGGCCCTCCATCCACCTCGAGATTAGCGGTTGCGTTTAACAGTCCAAGAGGCTGCGAGCCGAGGGAAACGGATTTCGCGAGATTGCTCGCGATGGATAGGATTTATTTCCGGTTTTACTGGCGGCCGTCGGAAGACTACGATGTTGGAATTCAATTTGTTTTCGTCTGTCTTATTCGTGAAGGGAGGAACGTTCAGGGGATTCTGTAGTGTTATATTTCATGATAATGTTGTCTGTGAGCGTAGTACACTTCACTCGAAGTGTAGAAGATGGACTGAGGAATCTAGTTTATGGAACTCCAGGGATCAAATTAGTTTCGTCTGTCTTCTTTGAGAATGAATGAGAATTCAGGGGATTCTGTAGTGTCACATTCCATAATAGTGTTGTCAATGAGTGTAGTACACTTCATTCCAAGCGTAAGAGATAGAATGAGGGCACTTGTTTATGGATCTCCAGGGATCAAATTAGTTTCGTCTGTCTTCTTTGAGAAGGAATGAGAATTCAGGGGATTCTGTAGTGTCACGTTCCATAATAGTGTTGCCAATGAGTGTAGTACACTTCATTCCAAGCGTGAGAGATAGAATGGGGTCACTTCCTTATGGAACTCCAGGGATCAAATTAGTTTTGTCTGTCTTCTTTGAGGAGGAATAACAATTCATGGGATTCTGTAGTGTTATATTCCACAATAGTGTTGTCAATGAACGCAATACACTTCGTTCCAAGCGTAGGAGGTAGAATGAGATGCAACTTTAGTGATAAAATAACAAATGAAAGACTAAAGTGAAGAAGGAACATTTCTAGAAGTAGTGGACTGCGTTTGGATTGATATCGAAGAGTAATCAGTCGATAGAACTGCTTTACGGTATTCCCACGCGATCGATGGGACTTAGAAATTGTGCGAAATGGCGCGTATCGACTTCGACGAAGCACACTACCCTGTAAGTACCGAATACGCGTCCGAAAGACCGACGCTGCGTGGATCGTGGTGTAATTGGTTACACTGTTAACGCGTTTACCTAAACAGCCTTACTGAAACATCTATTTCAATATTTGTTTACCTCTGTTGATAATTTTTAATAAAGAAAATATGTCTGAATATATTTGATTAAATTTTTCTTTTTTTATATCTGAAGATATTTTAACAGAACGAATGTGTAACATTTCATGCGTAGATTCCAGCACACAGGCTGACAAGCGTTAGAGGTAGGTTTCGATCGTTGATATTTTTTGGGCGAAAAAACCGATACCCTGCAAATCTTCTTATTCCGTGCGCTTCGAATGCATGAATTTCCCTTCAAATCTCGTCGCAATCGGCTTAATGGTTCGATCGGAATTTTGGATTTAGGACGTACGCACACACACACACATACATCCATTCGTTGGGGTATACGTGTATTTTTAACAACCGGATAAATCGTCCCTGTCCGCTCATTCTCGCACGCAAATTCTCGCCCAACGAGTAATAAACAATTTTATATTTTAAATAACCAAATTCGATCTTGAAATACGACCTCGATCGTTTATCACCTACAGCCTATTTTCCTGATAAATATTCGATCCCGTAAAAATCGCGCGTTTTCCCTCGAAAATTTCCAATTCACGGGGTTGTACCTTTCAACGAGATCTTCGTGCGTTACGTTAAGGGGGTATTATGGTCTAGAAGTGTCAAAAAAATCGACTTTGCGATCTTTTCCCCAAGTATTTCTTTGAAATTCAAAAAAATATGTAACAGCCGATGTATTAATGAAATTTCTAATATCCAAAATGGACGTCCCGATGAATTAAATATCGAACGTCGAGCTAATACAATAATGTATCTCGCTGTTCCATTAAATACCAATCCGCGGATACCTCGATTAAATCGTATTTTCGTACAATCGTGTGGACGTGTCGTCCTGAAAAACCTGGAAACGTCGTTATCGTATGGAAACGGCGGAGCGCGCCGCGGCTAAGGTCCAGCTTCCAATTAATTTCCATTGAACACGTCCAACTTGCTGCCGCGATTTTTGCCCGGCGTGAAACACCGACCAGGGGATAATTAACACGTCGGTGGCGCGGCGGCAGCGGTGTTCAACCGAACGAAACGCAGACTCGAGGCTTTTAGTCCAACCCCTCCTTTAGTCCCCATTCACCCCGTTCTATCGCGGTTGTATTGGTGAACGACGAGGTTCCGTTCTTCTCGAGCGGTCCTCCTCGTCATGGAGTTCCCCGCGCTCCCCATGAACATAGCAGGATATTACGGTGATGCGACAATGAACGTTGTGATCGCTATCTGGCCGGTATTGGGGGATGTCGCCCTTCTCCGCGCGGCCGCAGCGCACGACATCGGCCGTGGAATGGCGTTGGAATGGAGAAAGAGACGGAAATAGGAATACACCAGTGCGTCGAAGAGTGAGAGAAAGAGTGAAAGAGAGTGAGCGAAGGAGAGGGAGAGAACAAACGGAACAAATAGGAGGAGCAGAAGAGGGAGACAGAGAAAAGTAAGGGATCAGGGGTACATGGGACCCCTGATCGGCATATCTACTAGTAAACACCGTCACACAGTTAAAGTGCATGTATTGGACGAGTTGGTACGCGTCACCACCTAAACTACCCCCGACTGGTGCTTAAACTGCCTCCCCTTTTATTATGGGCCGCGACGGTTATTGGATTGTACCGTGCTATTTGTTGGCTGCCACGCTAATGGATCCATAATCACCGGGACGAATTAACGCAACGCGACGACGTTGACGGGTTGCTGGCTACTTTAAAGGCTGCGTGAACGGTAGAGCATCTTCAGTCTAGCTGACTCGACCCGATACATCGTCAGGTTCAACGGACTCCGGTCGGCTCTTCAACATCGATTCAACGATGTCGATCGCGTTGATTGTACACCTATTTACGTGTTCCTCGTGTCTCCTCACTCGCGAAACTTCCTATTGTTGATGCTCAACTGGAACTCGTGACGGGCATCTTAGCGTGGACCTAGTATATGTGTGTGTGTGTGTCTTGAGAGGTTCGTCTGAAAGCAGGATATGATCCCGGAGTGGTGAAGGGACTTCGGTCAACATTTGAGCGGAGTAAACATCGCCTAGCCGCGGTTTCTTCCCTTCACCCTTTCCTCTTCCTCCTCTATGCTACAGCTTCCTCGTCCTATCCGTGTCCGCCGATGAGACTCTGTGGATCGTGCATAGGACCTTCGAATAAGTCTCTCCCTGTCTCTCCCTCGCTCTCCTTCTCTGTCTCTTCAACCCTGGCACACGTCGGTCTTAGCCGGAGCTTCCACTGGGCCACTGCGGGGAATACCTTAGCCCCCGGGCACTGGATGGCACAAAGCATATTGCATGTGCTCCAAATACACAATTGCAGCCGACTGGATGGGAGAGTCAGGGTTCGTTACCTTCTGGCGCCGATGGTCTTTGCTCTTTCGATCGGATTCAACGGATCCACGGCTCCCTTGGCCCCGGGCACTCGTTTAATGAGGAGAGTCGTAAAAAAATTCACTCGTTATCTCGCGATACCATGCGAGCGACGCACCGCGAACGACCGTGAAATTAAAGGATCGCGAATGTTCTCCTTTTTTCTTCTTCGGAAAACGTTCTGAAAGAAAATTCCGTCTACCCTCGTAGTTCCAGTGTTAGATTAAGAACGTCTTTATGCAATAATTGCAGTTTTATAGGGCTGTAACGATGTTTGTACACATTGTGCAGCGTTGGACACAAAACACGTGAGATCTAAGGACGAAAATGGTCAAGATATTCCAGCAATTTGATAGAAATTTCTATCGACGTTCTGCGGCGACAACTCCACCTACCATTTACGTTCCAACTTCCAGCGAATTAATTAGAAGCAAATGTTTTTTCGTCGCGGCGAGAAACCGATGGTTTTTATGGCTTCGCCTGGCTTTACGTGCCTCCGGGCGGACATTTAACGAGAAAAGTCTTGAGAAATTCTCTTGTTACTTCGCTCTTAAAGAAGCCGCGTCGCGCCTTTCTGATACTCCCAACTATCCCCGCTCCCGGCGACGTATTTATTTCAAATTGTAAATTACAACTGACGGAAACGAGAAGAAAAGAAAAGATCCGATCTCCTGTTTTTTCTAGGCCTGTTCGCGGTACGAAGCCACTAGAGGAAACGCGATCTATTGTCTTTATATGTAATTCGACGAAAAAATAAAAGAAAAGGAGAAAACTAGGTATCCGTTTTCACGAGAGTGAAGGTAACCTAATTGGAGAATCAATTAGCAAACCAATGCCTCCTTTGTTCCGTCGTAGAATCGACAGAGTCTCTTGTATCGTGCAATTATGCAAATGAGAAATACCGTAAACCGATCCCGTTTCAATTTTCACATTCTATATACAGCCACACGCGTGTAAACAGGATGCGAAAAGGTGCATCGTTCTGTTCAAGGTTCAAAGATAATTAGCCAACCTTTCCAGTATTTCTAATCGACGTTCATCCTTTCTGATTATAATACAAACAACCGCGTGATTCATA